GCAAGCTGAGCTTCTCCCCTTCTCATATGAAATGGCACAGAGATTTCTTCATCGGAGCATGATCCCTTCGTTGGGACAGAAATGTGCGTGGGAATCAGAAGCTCTCCATAAACACTGATTCACGGAAAGCTCTCAGTGAGCCTGACTCAGGCAACCCAGATAGGTACTCCACTGCAGCATGCCATCTTGCTTACTTCTTATTTCTGAACAATTAACAAGAAGAAAGGCGTTGAGACAAACACCTTTGTAAAATCGGAAGAAAAACTGAAAAAGCAACTATCCCTTTCCATCATTTTAAATAATCATAAAGCATTCCAATTATACTATGAGTCCAAAATTAAGTTCCCAATTGCTATTTAAATCTTAAACATTTGGATTTAGAAAGAAATAACTAGTTCAAAATTGTTAGGAAGAGGTTTTGCATGCATGACCTATTATAAGTTGACCTTTTTGCGAAAAATTCAAAAATGACTGGCAGTAATGTTAATGTCATTTAGACCCACTATCCTTAATAGTGAAAGAAAAAATCAGGAAAAAAATAGCTTAAATATCTTTCATTTGCTTATGAAGGGCTGAAATTTAAAATGATAACTGCTGAAGGGCATATTCCATTCAGAACTGTCTTCATTCTTAAAATTGTTATATTTTGCATAAAAATTCACTACCTCACTCATTCCAGGCAGTGTAATTAATACGCATGCTCACTAAGTCATGGCACTGTGCCTAGACTAGATTATAATATCATGCATTTGCCTCATCAGCTTTCTCAAGACATCAGGGGGGAAAATTGTAGTTTGGAAGCATTTTAGTTCTGTGTTAGATGATTTCTTTGACCTGAAGTCAAAGGGATAAGCAGCCTTAGTTCAATATTAAAAACCAACACATAAATATAGAAATGAGTCATTGATTCCGTTTTTACTTACTGTACAGAGAAATATATTATCTTCCTTCATTGACATTGAACCAAAATCACATGTCATTGCACTCAAATTCAAATATATTGCACCTGTAGCCAAAGACCAAAATTATGAGACCTTATGGGCTGACAGAGCTGGCCCATTCCCCTAGTTAAAAGTGTTATCATGCTCCAGCTTACCACTCCCAATGCACTGAGAGCGCAAGAATTTTAGGAAGGGCACGAAGTCCTCAAGGAGTATCAGACTGCTGCCAAGTAGCTGGGCAAAGAGACGACACCAGCAGTTCTGAAATGTCAGCGGGAATGGGAGACACAGCATCTGATTTCTTGTCACTGGGAAACTGAGTTTGGTGGAAGATAATTCCGTACGATGTTCACAGCACCCAAGGCTTCCCATGTGTCTGCCAGGATGCAACCTCGGCATTTGGATGGAGTTTGAGAAACAAGGTTAAATGAATTACAGAATTAGTTAAGGGCAGCCTGATGAAGCGAAATATGTTAAGTCTCTTTAATCTAGTTAACAGTTCTGGGGAGAATATTGTTGGGGAGAGAATTTCTGTCTAGTTCTCATGCTATTCAATGGCACTTTTATTTGCTGGACATCTTAATGTAACACTGTAATATAACATAATATAACATCATAATGTAACACTCCACAAATCCATGTAATCAAGGAGGTAGAGAGACCATATTGAATGAGCCTCCAAGGATGTCAGTAGATAGAGAAAATTATAGAATCTCTTTAAAAAGCCTGATTAATAAGAATAAGGTAGCACAGGTAGGCCCTCCACAGCAGGTAACACGATAGTGAGCAGGGAGCCCATGAAAACTACAGGGTAATAGTAAAGACAGCAGCTCACAGAACGAATGTATGGATAATTTTAACATTATGCAATGTCATAAATTAAGTAACTAATAAGATAAAAGTAGTCAGCAATAATGCCATTTCCATTAGCCAAATAAAACATAAGATAAAGGCCAAGGCCATTTCTGTGTTTGAGAGTCTTACATATTTATCTCTGGAAACAGTTGAAAATGGAAGGCTGTGTAACACTTAACACATTAAAACATCGGCAGCTACTTGATAATATCTCAAAAGTGTGCCCAGAAGGTCACTCTGGGTTTAATGTATAATTACTTAATATTATGACACTAATGTTCTTTGGCCAACAGATGCACTTGACTGGATTCAATTTGTATAATTTAATAATTGGAGATTATCTCATCCTTCCATTTTTATTTAATATTTGGAAAGCATTAATAAAATTGTAAAATGCCCCAGGTTCTCTTTGCAAGTACATAAGTCTATTCGTTCTTTTATTTCTGAGTATCTCTTTTCTAGTCTTTGTGTTTCTCTTCCTTCCTCTGTTTATGTCAGATGTTGCTGTTGTCTATTTGAATGTTTTTGAGGTTTACCTTTTTTCAATGAAAATAGATTCTTCTCTCATACAATACATCCTCTCTTTACTCCTCCAAGATCCCCACACCTTCCTCTTGTCCCCAGATCTACTCCCCCTCCATGTCCTCTTCAGAAAAGAGAGACAAAAGCTGAACAGGACAAAACAAGATACAGTAGACAAGGCAAAAGCCCTCATATGGAGGCTGGACAAGGTAATAAGAGGAAAAGAGTCCCATGAGCAGGCAAAAGAGTCAGAAACACACCTGTTCTTGCTCATTTGTAACTAATGGGAATAACAGAAGGAAGGCAAGGGTGGGGTATAATTCTAAACCTGTCATGCTGGCATTTCCTTACAAAGCAATGTCTTATTCCCCTTTCTAGAGTGTATAACAATTTAAAATTCATACAGCCATTGATCTGGCCTCTGGCCTCATCTACATGTAAGATTTGTTCATCTTCTGCCCCTTCAACTTAGCAAGCATGATTGCCTTCTAATATCAAATTAAATTTAAGAGGCCCAAATATTTAACTCCTTCAGTGAATATCAACTCTTTGTCTAGCATTTCCTGTAGCTCTGCATGTCTAATTATGAACCTCACAGCCAGGGTGAGGAGTGCTTCTGGGTAGAGTTTTCCTGCAGCTAACAGTAAAGCCATAAGTAACAAACAGACCTTATTCTGGGTGACTGAATCTGTCCTTGGAATGCAGTAGGAGCTCAATAAATAGTTCTTGAGTGATATATCAAATACAGTATTAATTATAAATTGTTTTACATCCTAGGAAGGGGAATAAAACATTCTTTGTAAGAAAATGCCAGTATAACAGATATCCTCAGGAAACTGTATATCAAAGCAGACATCAAGAGCCTCTATAAATCTGAGCTATATGCAGACACTTGGGGTGAAAATGGTTTGGCCCAAGTCAGAATGTGAAGGAAGGTCAATCAGATTTAGGATTTAGATTTAGTGAATGAGCAAGTCCGGAAAACTCACTGGAGAACTGGGCAGGACCCATATATTATAAAGCCTGAAAGCCAGTCTGAGAATTCCAATGTTATCCTGATTGTAATATGAAGAAGCCATTGAGATTGATGCTGCCAAAGGAAACACATTTAAAATAATTCTGATTGCTTTGTTGAAAATGGATCCCATAGAAAGCAGTGTGGCATTAAGGATGTGAGGTGTTGAATGTGTGGTAATGCATTGACCCGGGGGCTTAGGTCCAGAAAAGAAGCGACCAAATATGAAATACACACATAGATGGAAATAGCATCACTATGAAGTAAGTGTGAGAAATGCAATTAAAATATTCCCAACTTCCAGAAGAGTTCCAGGGATGCTAAGTCCTAAAAAAAGTGGTCAGAGGGCAACAGGGAAGCCTAAATACCAATAAGCTCGGTTTTGTAAATCGTTTTCATCACATACACAGGAAACCCATATTAAAGTCACCCTGAACTTTGAAATCCACATTTACCATCATGACTCTGCCTGTACTTTACATGCATGATGTAGATATCAGTTCTTCTTTCTCAAAACAGGAGATGAAGCTGTTGACACAGATAATATTATATTATGAGTACTGACTGGTTTTTACACAGAGGCCAGTCATGCCTTGGTTCAAGGGGACAGGACAGAAGCCAGACGCCTAGCTTGAGCAGGCCTGCCTCAGCTAAGCCTGAGCGATGGAAGGAGAATGGACTGACACTGGCTCCCTCCAGTCTGCCTTTCAGCACAACAAAGTGCTCCAACTTGGTCAAAATGGGCTTCTTAATTTCTCTTGAAACTTTAAGTATTCCAAGAAGTGAGCTGCAAAAGGAAGCACTGTGGAGCCTAGCTATGTCTCTATGAAGCGCTTTACCCTTTGCTTACAGATGACCTCCAAAGACACATCAACATCCCCCAAAGTATTTTATGCAATATGAGGTGTGCACAGACTCATGTATGCTCATCACAGACATGATGAATATTAAGAAGACCTTGATTCCTAAACTCCTAAAGCAGCCCTTCTAATACGGTAAAGAATACAGAAACAAAGAATTCCCCATCCCCAAGTTGGCGCACTGATAGAACACATAAAGTATCCTGTGGAATTATATAAGGCAGTTGGCGTTGGATGCCAGAGGCCTGTGCCGGACTATTCTACACACGGGTAGATCATGACCTCACGAGCATCCTGCAACTTCTCTGAAGTTCAGAGACCTTATTTTAAAAGAAGGCTACTTTCCACCTGATAAATCTTGCATTGAAGAAGATTTAGTAACTATACAATACTATAACACTTTCTATTTATATGCTTGTATGGATTCCCTTTAAGCCACTTCTCTGATGAGGAACGTAGCCATTCTGGAGTCTTTGTTGCTCACATGGCTCACATATGCTAGGACTGAAAGTCATTAGATTGTCACAGGCTACCCCTTTCAACTGTGCTCTGAATCTCCTCCGCTTGATTATGTGCCTGTGTTTGTTGTTGCTGTTGTCTTGTTCTGTTTTTGCATTGGGATTTTTGTTTAATTTGTTTTGTTTTGTTTAACTTTAAGCATGTAAATATACTAAAATTGCATGGTTTAATTACATAAAAATTAAACCAAGAAATTCTTAGGCATTTATTTATTTTTTGAGCACCCCATAGCCATACCAAAGGCCAATGCTGTGCTGGACCCATTAGGAAGGGACTCCTGTTACCTACCCCTGTCACTGTCGTAGAGGTACGCAAACTTGTCCCACTGGTAGTACTCGATCAAGCTAAGAAGGGCTCCTTTGAGGTCAGGTCGCATCTGGATGACAAACGGATGCGTGCCATCTGTCGGGAAGCTCGGAGTGATGAAGGACACGTGGAGCGTCCCACAGAAGGACGTTATGGTGTTTACGGACTTCTTGTCGTAAAATCCAAAGATGGCATAGACACCTCTTGAGAACTGGGAGCAGACTGGAAATCAGGAGCACAGAAAAGGTGAGTTATTTAATCGCCATGTAATCATATGGATATTCGTGAAATGCAGTATTCATGTAAAGTACAAGATCGTTACCAGATCAAAAAAAATAGTAAGTTAATACTAATGATTCATCAGAATTTATAGAAACATTTATTTAACATTCAATTAGATAAATTTAAAAAAACTATAAAGAATAAAAAGCAGGAAATAAGGCTACATGAAAATGCATAGATAATTTGACAAGCTTCACGTGGGTAAATCTTAGGACAATTTTTTTAAATGCATAATTCATTGAGGTTTAAAGTATTATTTTAATTAAAATGTAATTGAACTCCCTTTCCCCTTCCCGTTTCTCCTTTCAATCCATCCTATGTCCCCCTTTCCAACTCCTTTTCAAATTTATGAGCTCAGTTGGTAAAATGCATGCCACACTAGCAGCTAACAGTGTGAGCCATGGAAAGCCCATTAAAATGCCTGCCATAGTACCATGCATGAGAGACACCATCACTGAGGAGGTGGAGACAGGAACAATGCTGGGATTCACTTATCAAATGGCCTAATCTAACCAGTAAGCCCCAGATTCAATGAGAGACCCCCTGTAATAATAAAGTAGACTGCTATCACAAGGAACCCCCCCAAATATGACGTCTGCCTTCTTCATGCACATGCACACATGAGCACACTCACTGGCTCACACAGATGTGTCAACACACACACATACAAAGAAATTTAAGCTGATAGTGCTTTATATCACAAGGATCACAAGGCTAGTGTTTCCATAGTGTCAATGCGAAGAAATCTCCGTGAGAAGAAAATACCATGTTTGTCTCAGATATACAGAGGTCTATCACCAGAGAGGCATATGCTCATCTCTGTCACTCTGTCAATTAACAGTTAAATACAGCTAATAAAATTCAATAAATTTCCTTATTTTACTTTAACAGTTGGCTTAACCTACTTACTTGTTCCTCTGCCTGGCAGTTCTTTGGTGAAATCAATATACTCAAATGTGCTACTAAGTTTCTCTCCGTTCCATCCACCCTACTTCACTAATAGGAAATTCTTACATTATGCGTATCATGTGTCTATTAGGTTTTATATTAACTCATTTCTCTCTCATGATAACTCTTGAGATAAAATCTTTTATTATCCCCAAAATAATGACAGGAAAATTACCACTTTGAGTAAATAGCTTGTAGCCAGTAAGAGATGTGTTCAAACCCAAGCAGTCTGCATTCACAATCTGCATTCATATCTATTATACAATACTTTTTAAAAGCACAATTAATGGACTATCTACACAAATGTTATTGCTCTTGTACTCCTGGTCCCTTCCATTGATATTTCGTCACTATAATTGGAATGGTCTTTTGAAACACCAATATGACTGTCTCTTTCTGATAAGTAAAAGCAACTCGACTCAGGATTTCAGTGCTGTATAGAAACCAGCTGTAGCAGCCCTCAGTCACCAGCCCAGGGGATCAGATGCTTTTGATGGATGCATAGCTGGTATTTGCTGAATGATCCTGAACCTATCAGCATCTTCCACATGAATTACTTCCAATACTATCTTACTCCACTGAATCTCTTTCACAAGGATGAGTGGAAATAGATTTGTTTCACAAACAAGAGCCTTGTTAAAGTAGATGTAGATTTTAATAAGCAAATCTAGATGATCCATAACTAATAGCCAACATTTCAATTATTAAGAGATGTTAATACATCAGAAACTAAACAACAATGGTTTTTCATATATTTCATGTAACTACAAGATGAAATTGTGATATTTTATTTGTCCTCCTCTAGGTAAGGAAAGTAGCCTTTAATATATTTGATGACTGAATCTGTTCATCATATAGATGAAAAAGACCTTTGGCTGTTAAGTCTTCCAGGCAAACTCGGCAATGATCTCTTAATTTGTACATGGATAAATGCGTACTGACATGGGTATTTTAAATTTAAATTGGTTATAATTCTTATTAAATCTTAGGTTGATGAAGTATGACATCTGAAAAAGGAAGGTTGCTGTAAAATTCTCCCTGGATCTACTTTATTTGATTTCCACGGAAAGGTTGGCATGGCGTCCAGACACTGGGGTTTTCATGCAATATGATTTATTGATGGGACTTCCTCTCTTGAGCACAGTAGTTTTCATGATGGAGAGAGCAGCATCACCGGAATGCTCAAAAAGAAAGCCACTGTTTGAATACAGAATCTCAGTAAAGAGCCACACATTTCATTTTTCACAGATCTGAACTGTGCAGTCAAGAGACTTCTTTGTTAAGTAAGCAGCTGGAAGCACTTCCTTTGTCTCAATAAGAGAAGCAAACTATACAAAACTTTATAAGAAATTTTATCTCTTTTAAGTCAGAAACCATATATTCTCTAGGAACTTCTGCCATTTCTTCAGTGAATACTGCTTTACAACATGACCTTGGTCCCACTCAACCCTATCACCTTATGGTTCACAAATTATAATGACTTTCTTTTTTCCTACTTCTATTTTTTGGGTATTTTTTGTTAATATCCTATTTCTACAGATGCCATTTGATCAATATTTCTCAGTCATGTTCATGATCTGCAGATATAGTAAGAGTGACATTGAGATCTCTGAGCAAGCACTTTAAATGAGGTACTATTTCCAAGTTCACAGTAACAGTCTGAGAATGGGAGCTGAATCTTATGTTACATGAGTGCCTCATGTCCACACATCCAAGACCTTCTGCAATCTTCTACTGTTGTTCCCCAGTACAGGCTTGTATTTGACTTTGTATTATTGTCACCAAGTGCCTTATAGGTCTTTGATAAGAAAGTTCTTCTTTCATTTTTTTTTATATAGATGTCAAGCAGCAGAGGGAGCTGAAGAAGGAACTGGTACAAGCTGTCACTCCCAAGAACATGCTCAAGGGACCTACTGCTTCCATTTACAGGCTAATTCTCGCACCTGGACTAGCCCATTTCTAATGATGTGTGTAAGCACCCCAAGGTGCACTTACCGGGAAGAGTCTAGCCTCCGTCCATCATGGTGTCTCTTCTCCAGAGAGCTGTCGGGTCTCTCCGGGAGCAGAGCAGAGTCTGACCTCACTTCCTCTTCCGCCCAGCATCCTATTCTGTTTATTCTGCCCACCTATCTTTTAACCTATCAGGGCCAGCAGTTTCTTTATTGCTCAGCCAATGAAATCAACAGATTGATATGACACTCCCACATCAAATCCTCACAAACTGGGGTGTAAGATTTTAATATTAGCAAGAGGTGTATGGGTCATTGCTTAGTCTCATTTTATCATTTTGCTCTGGCTTCCTAAGGTGTCTACCTACCCCATAATGGAGAATGAATTGTCTGTCTCTGAGAGTCAGAATCATCTTAGCCATTAATAAACTGATTTAAAGTCTTTTCTGAGATACAAGCCAAATTCTTACCCATAACCCTCTAAACCATACCAAACATAAGGGTGTGTACTTCCTGATGTGGGAGTGATTTCTTATTAATAAAGAAACTGCCTAGGCCCATTTGATAGGCCAACCCTTAGGTAGGTGGAGAAAACAGAACAGAATGCTGGGAGAAAGAAGCTGAGTCGAGGAGTTGCCATGGTTCTCCCACTCCAGACAGACGCAGGTTAAGATCTTTCCTGGTAAGCACACCTCGTGATGTTACAGGGATATTAGAAATGGGTTAGATCGATATGTAAGAGCTAGCCAATAAGAGGCTTGGAACTAATGGGCCAGGCAGTATTTAAAAGAATACAGTTTCCATGTAATTATTTCGGGGCACAAGCTAGCCATGCGGGCGGCCAGGTGCTGGGGACGCAGCCTCGCCGCTCCTATCACTACAACTTCCAAGATAAGAAATTTTAAAATAAAAATCCCATTTCTAAAATATAGTAAAAAGGAGTAACAAGGAAGGCAGAGATGGGGGAAGAAAGAAGAAGATAAAAATATATCAGGGGAAACACTAAGATTTTCAGCACTGTACAAAATGTAAGACATCCAAGATGCATGGTATCATAATGAGAATGTCAATGCGCTTGAGTTGTTCCATTGCTATGGCTTTGCCAACTTGCCTTTCACACTAAAGCCGTCATAGGATGCCTGCTTCGTGCATGAAAGTTTCCCAAAACTAGTATTATGTGGATATCATCAAGGACTGCTGCCCTCTTAAGCACTGGTCACCTTTCTTTGGACAGGGTACATAGGCGCCTGTGACTGCTTAGGTTTCTGAATGTAAAGAAATACTTCCCCCAGCAACCCTGTGTCTAACTGGAGGATGAGAGAGCATGTTAAGCAAGTTTACCTCTTGTGAACTTGTCAACTCTGGGTTTGATGTGGTCTTATTTATTCTTAGTCGTCTTCCTAGCATCCTTTCTTTTTCCCAGTTGAAAGTAATTAACTTATTTTGAATGGTGCTATTCTTGCTAACAAGTATATCTTACTCAGCCTCAAATTTTCTCCTTTCCCAGCCTTTACAAGACTTTCTGCCATACTCTTTGTTCATAATTATCACTATAAACCTGGATAAAAGATTTTCTGACAATGCCACAGCTAAGATGTTGACTATCTTAAACATTCTTTCACCAGCTAAACACAGCTACCCATGGGGTCTCATGAAATGGACAATAGGTAGAGAAATTCATTGCCATAACAAAACATAAATATCTTTGATTACTACTATCAGTAAGGTCTTAATTTCTATCTGCATCTTCATGAGTTAATTCTTCATGACCTGCATTCTTGACTTCTAAGTTCATATTGGAATAACTCAGTCAGCTTTACCTATAGCACTGTAGGCTTTTAATAGCATAGATCTCTACACTTTCCTAAATCCTTCCTATATTCTCATTCCCAAAATTTAACAAATGCATGGTAAGGATAAGGTTTACTAATAGCAGTGAACACATTTTTAGGACTGGCTTTCGGTATTAGTGGAAATGAGTGATAAACTTTTATCCTTGTGCCACTATACGACATAATAAATTTAATAAAATAAGGATTTCTT